TTCATAGTCATCATAATATAGTCATCGCCGTAGAGTCAGCGGATAATACTCGTCGGTAATACAGATATAATTTTCTTCATATATAATTTATCTTTAAAATAAATTAATGACACTGTTTTAGTGTCAATAAATTTGAATTGAAAGTGTCCATGAAAATGGTGTCAGTCTTTCTTTCCTGTAACAATTTTTTTTCTTTCTTTGAACTTTTGCAACATATATAATATAAAAACGTTTGCCATTGAATATTATTCTTACTGAAATACATATATACTATATATATGTACACAAATTGTATGTATATAAAAAAAAAAAAAAGAAAAAAAACAATATGTATATGAATAAAATGTCTATGATTGCCTTCTTATAACCAACCATCCATCCGACCAGCCAACCAACCATCTTTGCTTGTAAACACTCTGTTGTTGTTGTTGTTGTTGTTGTTGTTGTTGTTGTTGTTGTTGTTGTTGTTGTTGCTGCTGCTGCTGTTGTTTTGCTATTCTACCTTTCTATATGGTTTGGCACGTATGCTTTAAAAATGTAAATTTAATGCCACAAGTTCTTCTGTACAACATCAGTTGTTGTTTACTTTGGCAAAACAGCAATCATTTCATGCGGCGGCATCCATTCAATGTTCCTGAAAGCCTGTTATTTATGATTCATCTTCAATTTCTAAGCAACGAATCTAAACATTGTTTGTTGTAAGTTGAAGAAGTTGATTAAATAAAAAAATTAAAAAAGATATGCGAATGCGATGGTCGTATATAGTAGCAGATGTACGTGCGTATTACGATGTATGTAAAAAAATTTCGCGTTTAAGTTGCGTGCAGCTTAAAATTGATGTTTTTTGCCTTTTTTTCTAAAAGACATTTGCTTGCGAAAGCCGTGAATAATTATGAAGTAAAGTAAGTGACTGTATATATATGTTGGACAGTTTTTAAGATTAATTGTCTATTAAAAAAAAAAAAAAAAAAAAAGCTGCATAAATAAAATATAGTTAATGGTCCATCACACACACACACACAAGGCACACACACAAAGACAATTTGTTTCATGCAACCATTCCGTCCATTGGGTAACTATTCATTATGTGTTTTGTGTATGAAGCTATATAGCTTTGCGCTAAAATCTTCACCTAAAGAACGTCCGATGATTTTGCAAAAATTGACTAAAAACACAACGACATATATGTACGCAATGCTCTAGAACCGGTATATATAATTTTTATATTTATATATAAACAACACAGCATTGACCAAGTTAATGCTGCAAATATGTACTATTACGCGAGATGGCATTTAAACTTCTACTTCTTCAGTTATATTTTTAAAAAGGCATTGCAGAGCTAATAGTTACTAGCATAGCAATTCTGAGAACCTGGTATCTTTTGCTCATCTTCATTTTCTAAGCATTGGCTCTATCTAAACAGTGAGTGAGCAAATAAAAAGTAATGGATTTCGTAAATAAAAACAAATCCAATAACAACAAAAAAATATCATCAAATGTTATACATACGAGTTACCGGTATTTAATTCAAGTCACATACAACAATAGCAACAACAGCATCTAATCGAAAATGTAGATAAAAAAGGAAAAAACATTTTTGCAAAACTTATTGAAAACTAGTTTACAGATAGAATGGGATATGAAATGCGCACATACATACCTACGAACATACAATACAACTTCTTAAACTTGTGCTCATATATGGTTGAGAGATAAGGCGGCAATGCTTGCATGTTTCTCAAGCCGACCATATTCGTACATATGTGAGCCAAATTGATTACCATAAAGTAGTTGGACAGTATAAAAAAATTACTAACCACCTACCTCTTCTACTACTGGTATTGTTGTCTAATTAACTGGAAAATTTATGAGTAAATAAATCATGATGCTATTGGCTTGTTATGTTTAGGAACTAATTATCAATATTTTAGGTTTAAACAAAAGTTTTATTTTAATTTGAAACAAATAAAAACACGCTATAATAGTTCACGACACACCATTAAATAGCCCACACCATCCTACAATAATTCATATAAGGATTTTATCCGGCCATTAAGGCCGTTATATGAGAAATGGATGAAAAAGTGGTTCCATCCAAGTCATTGTCAACGGGATTTGTCTCTAGGCCGGAACGCGTCAGTGTACCAAATTACATGAAATTATCTCAGAAACGGCGGACTGTAAGTTGAACAAAAGCATCCAAGACTGTCAGACGGACAGATATGCTCAGCTTGATGCAGAGGGTGGCTCAGCTCAAGGTATTAATCGGCTTCTATATTGAACAGAGGACGGACAGACGGGAGCACCATCCTCAATAGCGCGTCGTCCTTAGGCCAAAACAACTGCGTGCAACAAATTTTATCAAAATATCCCAAAAATTGCGACCTGATAGCTGACCACACAGTAACAAAGCGAATGGACCAACAACCGACAAGATGTATCCCAAGCCCTTTGTGCCAAACACGTCAACGCAAACTTAGCACACGCTGACATCACAAGTGGTGTAGGGTATAAATAAATGTTCTATTAACTGTATTAGTCTTCTTTGCTTTGATTAGCCAAAAGTAAACAGCGCTGAGTAGATAAACAAAAAATAATTTTTTTTTCATTATTTACTGATCGACGATCGATTCAGAACATATTTACATGTTAACAAAAAATGCGTATGGCAGGACACCCGAATTTGAGACTCTGGTGCGGCCAAACTAGAAAATGTCACCTTTATTCACCTATATCATGTGAATATATATAAAAACGTTTATCGAATGATCAAAAAAGGTTCAAACATCTCTTTCGGGAACTATTTTTTATTTAGTATGTTAGCGAAAAATAGTATAGTACAATAAATACTAGTACAATATACATTATAATATTTTGTACTAAATTTTACTATACTACACTATAGTGTATTTTGTGCTAGAATATATTGTACTATATTATACTATAGTATAGTGTATTTTGTACTAGAATAAACTATACTACAGTATAGTGTATTTCCTACTCGAATACATTGTACTACAGTATAGTGTATTTTGTACTAGAATAAACTATACTACAGTATAGTGTATTTCGTACTAGAATAAACTATACTACAGTATAGTGTATTTCGTACTAGAATATATTGTACTACAGTACAGAATATTTTGTACTACAGTGTAGTGTATTTTGTACATATTGTACTACAGTGTAGCGTATTTCGTACTAAAATATTTTGTACTACAGCGTGGTGTGTTTCGTACTAAGATATTTTGTACTACAGTATAGTGTACTCTGTATTGAAAATTATTGTACTACTTTGCAAAATATTTTGTACTACAGTACAGTGTATTTTGTATTGAAAATTATTGTACTCTAGTATAGTAAATTTTGTACCAGAATTTATTGTACTACAGTATAATGTATTTTGTACTGAAATATATTGTGCTACAGTATAGTGTATTTTGTACTAGAATATATTGTACTATACTATACTACCGTATAGTGTACTTTGTACTAGAATATAATGTACTACAGTATAGTGTATCTTGTACTAGAATTTATTGTACTACAGTATAATGTATTTTATACTAGAATATATTGTACCACAGTAAAGGTTATTTTGTACTGGTATATATTGTACTACAGTATAGTGTATTTTGTACTAGAATATTATGTACTACAGTATAGTGTATTTTGTACTAAAATATATTGTACTATACTACAGTACAGTACAGTGTATTTTATACTAGAATGTGCTATACTACAGTATAGCATTAGTATTTTGTACTAGTATATATTGTACTACAGTAAAGGGTATTTTTCTGGTATATATTGTGCTACGCTAGAGTATAGTATATATACTGTATAATGTGATATACCTTGCTATACTATACTTACACCCATTTTTCGCATGTCAAATTTCAAAAAATTGTTAAAAATGGTTCTCGAAAGAAAAGTTTTAACTTTTATTGTTCATTCGACAGACGTTTTTATACAGATTCACATGACATAGGTAAATGTAGGTAACATTTTCTAGTTCAAATTCGGGTGTTCATTTTTTACTAACATACCGAATTTCAAAAAAAAATGGTAAAAATAGTTCCCATAAGCAGGATTTGAATTTGTTTAGTTTGTTTGAAAGGTACTTTCATGTAGATGTCCATAAAAATATATTGTTTTTTTAATATGAATAGAGTCGACTTTCGAATCCGACTATATCTTCATTTTAATTATTTAACAGGGCTCTGTGAAGGCCTTAACAGAGGTTTTTTAACAGGTATGGTTTGCTTGTTAAATTCAAATTTATCTTCACACTCTTTGTATAAAATATGTTTGTCGAGGGCGGCTTATTATCGCAAACAAGCAATTGCAAACAAGCTTATGTTAAGCGTTGGTCGTTAGGTCAAGTTGTGAAAGGTTTTATCCGATGGAAGATGTTGTTGTATCTCATTGTCCTAACTTGATGGATGTTACAATTGTTCGTAAATCTTATCTACGTCTAGCATTGACATTAAGGATACGCCATCCAGTGTTTACAAGCAATAGTTAAGTAAAATCTTAATGTTTGTAGAGGTGGCAACTAATTCCAGACTCATCACCAAGATAGTCTTAGACTACAACTTTATTTGTTTTTTTTATAAATGATAATTTTTTTTCTCTCTTGCAATTTTTTTCTAAAGTGAAAGAGCTTTTCTGTGTCTATGCACACGACATGCACGCTCTGTCTCTTCGTAGGCAACATTTTTATATTAATGGGGCGAAATTGCAAATTTATTTTTATTTATGCAAGGAAAGCAAATATGTATATATATGTGAGTTTAGCGTTCCTTTTGGCCTGGAGTTGAAAATCGTGTTAACAAGTTTTGTAAAAGTGAATGTGAAGTGATGCCCTACATTTCTTTGCCTTTTCTTGCAAATCAAAAGTATTTTCGTTTGAATATTATTTTCTAATTTTCTTTTAAGCCTTCATTCGTAGTAGTTACTCTTATTTTTTTTTTTGAATTTTTTCTTCTTTACAGAACTTCTTCAGATTACATCGTTTACGCAAACTGGGCCTAAGTGACAATGAAATTGGCCGCCTACCGCCAGATATACAACATTTTGAAAATCTAGTGGAATTAGATGTTTCCAGAAACGGTATGTTAAAATTGAAAACCTTTTATTTGTTGTTTTATTGTAAAGGTTTTTAACTAAATGTTTGATTGCCAGAATTCTTCGAAGAGTTTTGCTTATGAAATATATTTCGCTAGTCACTCAATGTGTGCATTTTTAATTTAATTTACTTTAATAAACTTTCGCGTGGGTCAATTTGAGGTCGATTTTGCCTCCGCTGACAGACAGACGCATAGCCAATGATATTAATTCTTATACCATTTGAAAAAGTAATAAAAATAAATTGAATGTAATAAATAATGCAAAAATATACACAACAACCATTGCGTATATAAATGGATGATACTGTAGTCATAGATTAAACCACGCCGCCAGACAAAAACTGTTAATCCCGATATGTAGCAGCAAATGATTCATAAATTAAAATTCTCTATTATGCTGAAGGTTTCCATTAAGCGAATGAACAATGCATGTTCATGTGTGTAATGAAATGTTTTTATTAATTAATTTATTAATTTTTCTCAATTTTTCTATTCATTCTTGTAATCGACCATTTTTTATGCAACAATTTTTGATCTACATATTTTGTGTAAATAATCGCATAATAATAAACAAATAAAATTGTTTCTTTCAATTTATTACAAAACAAATAAGAATATTGTAGTCGGGCAAGGCCGTACCTTAGATATCCTACATCACTTTACCTAGTGTAGTTATTCATTCGTTAGGATAATAAAAATTACATATTATCTTCATGCAAAAGCATATCTTTGATGAAAGCCCGTATATCGGAGAATGCCAAAAACGTCGCATGACGCGATCCAAATTTAGCAAACATAAATTTCTTCCGAAAAATTAACATTATTTTTCATCATAAGAAAATAGACTTTCTTTCCATTCAAAGTCTTCCTTTTGTTGATAATCCCTATATATACCCTATATATGGGGTCAAAAAAAAGACCGAAGTGATGCAAATTCCATATCGTTAATTTTTATACTAAATTGTTCCTATGCGCCGATTTTCATCATAAACTATTAGAAATTAAACCTTCTTTGGAAAGCCTATTACTTAGCGTGCAAGAAATAGACCCATGTATTTTAAATTGGGTCCACTTAAGTTTTTAATCAAATTACTATAATGAACAAATTTTCATTGTAAAACACTAAACTTTTTGGCTTTTGGTTCCGAAGGGTTTACATTTCCTAAGCACGTTTATAAGCGGCGGTATTCAAAGGTATACCTATGAGATTCAAATTCGCTAACTTTCATTTTTATATCAATTCACTGCCGTAAACCGATTTCCGCCACGAAATATTGAAAATTATACCTTTTTACCACATAAAAATTTGGTCTTCTTAGGGACGGTTATAAGAAGCAGTTCAAAAATTTGTCTCGGCCGGATCAAATTTTCATTGTAATTTCCAAAAATATTGTTACTCAGTGGCTTACGTCGAACATTTGAACATTTGAATTAAAATGGGGTGTGTTCGAAAAAGTGGACGGATCCAAACCAGTGCAGCAAATTTCATCAAAATATTCCAAAAATTTGCGATATGTAATTTGAGCACAAGTTTGCATGGATAGACATTTTTGGATTCAGAAAATGATTCAGATGAATCGATCGGTATAATAAAGGTGATATATACGACAACACAAACTAAATAGATCACAAACTTTTCATAAATATGACAAGGGCAGGGGAAAGGCGTTCAATGGACAAATTCATAATCCACTCTTTATTGCTCTCTGTTTCTCGCCTTTTCATATTCGCTTGGCGCAGGAATGTCATAATTCGGTTACAAACTTTCAAATTTTAATGATAAACTGTTAGCTTAGACAAGTTAAAATGTTCGAAAGCTAAAAGTACTGCGATATAACTTCAAAGGTAAATCCAGAAGAATCGGCAGCATTTCATATTCTTGACACGAGAAGAGAAAATGACGTTGAACAGAATAAGTCTTCGAAGTGCCGAAAGAAGCTCTCACAATGGTTTACATGTTCAAAAAGGCTTACTTCCCTGCCGCCGACATCCGCAGTAATTACATTAACCAAAGTTATAGTCTAATATGCATTTGCGGGGACTGGAGGGAGGTTCTAGCTGTTGTTTGAAGAAACCCGAAAGCGTTTGCCTTCTCCCGTGTTTTCTTCGGATGAGGAGCTGGAGCATTTATTTTAAAAGCAACATTTGGCAACTCGTTATGGCCAAGCTAAGAACTGCGATATCGTCATTGCATGAATCCTTGATCAATGTCATTTCCAACGGTCTATAGTACGTAGCCATTGGCCGTACAAGGAAAGAAAGTTTCCCATGGTGAATATAACAATTTTAATGACATTCATATTCTTGAGAAATAACAGATTTCTGTGATAATTTCTGTGGATTATAATGCCGCTATCAACAAAGATTAAGAGACGTAAAATAAGTACATGTGCAGCATAAGCATGTGAATCGCGAATGAATGAAAGAAATAAATCTTTTTCATATGATTTATATATGCACGCGTAGTCAACGGCGAAGTAACACTGAGAAGTTTAGCTGAGAATCTTGCCATGTGGCTGCGGTGGCTGCAAATTAGCGGAATAAATCAATTTTTATGCAAAAAAAAAAGCAAAGAAAAAAAACTGACAAACTAAAAAGAGCCACCAGAAATTGTGTGTTGTTCATTCATAGTTCATGGATATTCATCGTACAATTTCTAAACTTCAATTTGCGCCTTTTAAATTATAACTCGAAGCGGTGTGCAATCCAATAAACTTATATATATATGTATATATATATATTTAAAATGATATTACTTTTCTTTTGTGTTGCTTCTTTATGATGATTATGGGTCAAATGGTTAGCGAGCGCTCGCGTTATTTTTTTTTTTTTCCTCTTTTACTATTGATTTAAAAATTGTTTTTATTTTTTTGCAATGACTTTCACCAAAACTATTTTGCACTTATATGTTTTGTTAATACTTAGACAGTTAGTTAGCTAGTTATACATTCACAAAACCAGGAACATGATATCATTCATGTTCCTTTGCTTTTCAGTTTTAGTTACTATGAAATTATTCGGGAACAGAAATGTTAAATGGTCTTTAAGATCATTTTAATGTTTCACGATCACGTTTCGCTTGTAATTACTTTTGAGATATTGCTTAAACAACTTTTTAATGGAAACAACAAATGTGATACATATTCCCATTAGAAAGCAAACGTTTGCTTAATTGTGAATGAGTTTTGTCTACGTATTAGTCCCGGATACGTATGTGTTATGATATTTAGTCAAACGCCATAGCAGATTGAAGAATAGTTCTACTTAGCAGAATGGAAATTTTTTTCCACGCCCACACACACACACACACACACACAAAATTATACGGGGAAAGGGGCATACAATCCAACTTCACTTGCGATATAGCGAAACGAGCATTTTTCATCCGGGAAAACCCGGACAATTGTGATAATATCTTCTTATCTATGTGTATATGGCTTTCGAGAGACAGCATTTTTGTTATTATTATTACAATTAATTTCGCCAGAGGAATACATTGTAAGACTAAAGTATTAAAGCACTAGTATTAGCATTTTTGAAAAATCTACCGCACTTTAGATTTCAATACGCGACCATTGAGTTGTTAGTCGAGATGCTTTGTCTACTGAGCCAATAAGGCGGATCAACGTTTGTACATTTCATATATGTTAACATTTTTTTTTAAATTAATGTTTTTTTATACCGAGCCCTGCTCGTGGTAGAAGAGTATATTGAGTTTGTGCGGATGTATACAACACCCAGGAATACTTGAAATAGATTTGCATGTCGATGTGGATTCAATCACTTTCTGAACTGATTTAAGCTTGTCTGTGCATCTGTCCGTACCGCATTCTAATATTCAATCTACATGTCGCAAATTTGATAGAAGTTGGTATACCGATGTGCTTCGGTCCGTCTACGGCCGTTAAGATCGAACCATTTTTTCGGCTACTCCCCATATAAAGCTTTATTCTGAAATGTTTATACGGATGTCGTAGGTGGTTCATAGTATTTAATGATGGCCCCTGGCATACTATACTATTTTTAATTGTCTTGCCAGAATACAATAAAAAACGTCAGCTATTGTTTTACTACTAGAAACATTTTTCTATGTATGAGTTATTATAATTATAATATATTTATATTACATAAACATCAGAAAGCGCACATGTACCCACACTTAATGATTTGTATTGTGCCAAAAAATAAAATATACTGCATACTACTATTTTTACTAAAAATAAATGTAATTATGAAAATCTTTTCTAATGACCAAATATTCATGGCTGCATAAAAGAGCTGAGCTGAGATAAGGAAAGGAGAAAGAAAATATGAAGATGAGAAAATTTCATATATTTTAAAAGTAAGCCTCAAGTTTCAAAAGTTTCAATTTGGACTCGGGTTCTCGACAGCTTTCATCTAACCCTTTTAAGGGATGAAGGGTATCAACTGCCCGTATTGTTTTATAGCATAAAGGAGGATAATGCAAGAGTTTTCAGTAATGCGGTATCAAAGTACGATTTCATTACTTGGATTTTTCTTAAATGTGCCTCCAGCCGCTAAGTCAACAAGCACAAACTTTCACCTTTAAACTTAATCTCCTTCTAAAAATCGCTTTCGAATTGTTTTGAAGACGATTATTGATGCATATCTAGGCGTGAATTTCAAAAGAGAGTATGTTCGTATTTCCGTTATGCTCGTTAAGCTATTGAAAAGGAAGTGTGAAATACATATAATGAACTCCATGATGAGTTTGGTGAAGTAAAACGCGTGAGATCATCAAAAATTTCAGAATCTGCATACTCATTGCATCCTGTACATACACACACGAACATTAGGAACTAATCATGGCCATTTTTGCTATTAAACCTAATACATTGTAGATATTCGAGCAAAATGAATGACATGTGTTATGGCCGCTATATATATTAGGTGTAAAAATAAATTCTATCCATTTGTGTTTTGATAAAATTTAACATGTTTGTTAAAAGGCTTCATTATGCT